ATGCCAGACATTGGCGTCTTTGTTCTTTCTCCCGCAATCACGCGGTATTTTGCTCCCCTTTATTTGTCAATAAAGATCACTGTGAGCTCCCTGCGCTTGCCTGTTATAAAATGCGGACAGCTTTCAAGCTTTCCGGTTAAATTCGGCCAGTTTATAAAAATGGTAACAGCCTCCGTAGTTTTTCTTTTTCTTTGTCTTTTTCACGTTTTTAATGTAACTTAATACTGCCGATCTAGCCCACTCAAAACCTGAATTTGTTGGTACGAAAGATAGCATTTAAACGGTGATAAAATGGATGGAATAAGATCATTTACACGATGCTTATTAAAAACCATTCAGCTGATAACTGATATGCGCAGAATTAATGGAAAGTTGTGCGAAAAAATTAACATCTGTTCGAGGTGACCTCGCACGCTGCATCTTTAGCTACTAATTGTTGATTTTCAGCCATTCAGTGAGCTCTTCACTCTTCATTATTTAATAAAATATAATAAAATCAAATGAATACATATTTATTAGATTTAGAGGTTAGTGAATAGAATACCCAGGCTTACACAAGTATTACAGAGCAAAGTAGGTAAATGAAAACCCAAGCTCAAACCAGTGTTACAGAAGGACGTAGGTTATCGAAAAGCTGAAAACCCAAGCTACCAGTATCACAGAACCGCTACATTAGTGAATAAGGTAAACGGGCCGCAGGCCGGGTTTTACATATTTATTAAGTTGATATATAATAGACAAATAGACACTTTCATTATACCGTGAGATATTGAGGCACTCAGATTTCTAGATATTTTTGTACTTAATTTCGAAACTCTGGAGGCTCGAAAATTAGGGGTGACGGCCCCGCGCAGCTGGGCCGAGTCCGCAGCGAGGCCGAGTCGAAATATTTAGAATTTCTGGAAATGTAAAAGCTTTGGAGCCGACTTTGGACAAATTTCTAGTTACTTCGAGGTATCCGAACGGAATTAAATACATTCTAAGGTTTTAAGAACTTGAAAAATATGTGTCTGGCAGTTTGATGTGGTTTGATGTGACTGGCAGTTTTAAGTACGAGTAACTAAATTGTTTAGGTTGCTAAGTTGCCAAACTTGTATTTGCTCAGTCTAGACGTTTCCAGAATTTACTGGAAATTTCTGAGAGCTTTAAACGTTAAGTACTGAAAGTTTGAAACGTTTTTGGAAACGCTCCTTAAACCAAAATTTTTTTCCTAGCTACAGGTAGGAAGTTTTGGAGGATGCTAAATTTTATAAAACTGTCCAAAGTTTCACAAACTCAGTCTCGAATTAGGAGATATTTTCAAAACATGATTACGGAGGGATATATGAATCTATTGAAAACGCTAAGTACTGAAAGTTTGAAACCTTTTTAGAAAAGTTCTGGAAACAAAATTTTTTTTAAACTACAGGTTGAAAGACGCTGGATTTTATGAAAATATCGAAAGTGTCACAAACTGAATCTCGAATTGGGAGATAATTTCTAAAAAATAAGGACGTGAGGGTATATCTATTGATAATTACGTTTATGTTATCAAGAGATTGATATGTCCTTACGTCCTTATTTTTGGAGATTATCTCCTAAATCAAGATTGATTTTTTCAATAAGTTGATAATTTTATAAAACAGAGCATTGCACAAACGTTCCTACCTTCATCTTTAAAAAAATCTGAAGTTTTGGAGAAGGTCCAAAAAAATTTTTGAAAGTTGTAGTGCTTAAGGGTTTTTAGTACTCAAGCTTGTACGTACTCTACTACTTACCTACCACTTAATCGCCGGCGTATCAAAAATTTTTGAAAGTTGTAGTACTTAAAATTAATGTTGTTAGTACTTTAATGTAATACTACGTAAGTTGTAGTACTTAAATGCTGTTGTTGTTGTTGTTGTTGTTGTTAGGATTTTACAGCGTAGTCCTTGAATGGACCATTGCTCCAACAAATATTGGTTGAGGTCATTTCTTCATGGCGGCAGTGTTATTGCAGTCTCCATGATGGTTTCAAGGATGAGAAGTAAACGTCGGTTTTCAGGGTAGAATACTGGACCGGTCAAGGTGGTTTCAAATATTCAGCGTAATAATTGTCAAATATTTAGGGCTGAGAGAAGAGTGGTCAAAACCTAGTACGGTACTTCTCCACATCCCGCTGTTGCGAACGGCAGTTGGTAGATCCAGCAGCGTGATTCTCCGAACAGTTTGTACATTTATAGTTCGAGGAATCTTTGTGGCATTCACGAGTAAAATGCGCTTCACTGCATCTTCCACACACAGGAATAAGTGATTGGCATGCGCTCGCTTTGTGACCATACTTGTTACATTTATAACATCGTAAAACAGCTGAGTCGATGCTAACCGTTTCAGTCCAACCGCAGGTGGCGAATACATATAAACGCTTGGCTGCAAGAACATGCTGTTGCGCGTCAGCATTGAGAAAATGGATCTTAATATGTCCTGTTCCGGTGAACGAAGTGTGCTATTATTGCTTCTCCTGTGGAATATAACGCGAATAGAAGCGATTTGACCACGGGTAGACGGGTTTCTGAATTCTATCTCCTCCTTTAAATGTTCAGAACTTTCCACGTCAACGTTTTTAACGATAATGGGAAAGGTAGTCTTCGGAACAGATAGCTTTTTAATGGGTAAAACTTCACTGGAAGCCAACAGTTCTTGTGCCTTATCCCTTTCTTGTGCAGAATCAAAGGTCAGCAAGATTTCACGCGAAACTTTCCGTTGATATACCTCCTTTACAAGAGGCGTGTCCGTTGTTGATTTACCTCGAAAAAAAACCATCCAAATTGGTCATAACTTCTTTTGGCTTAATGATTTCTGGTAGGCTGTTGGGATCATGTCGTAAACTTGCAATCGGGTTGAACCTTTGCTGCTGATAGACTCCTGGTGGATCCGTTCGCGTGGTGCTGGGATGGCACTCCGGTGGTTGGCGCGCAGCTTGCGCATATGTTCGTGAAGAGTTGATTTTACCATCCAGGAGACTGGAGACTATGCGTTTATTTACCGCATTAAATTTTTCCCGTAATTGTTGATAACGAGAATCCTGTTCCACCAATTTAAGTTGTAATCGCTGTACGTGATCTTCTGACGCATCAAGGCTAGCGTACGCTTCTTTCAAATGTTTTCTGAGGCTTGCTACACTTTTAACTTTTAAATGCTGTTAGCTTCTAAAGAGTTCGCAACTTAGCAACCTAAACAATTGTTATTTAAAATTGCCAATTACATCAAACATAATTTTATTTTTTCTAATTCTTGAAACCTTTAATACGTTCTTAAATCCGTTCGATTATCTCGAAATAACTATAAATTCTTTAAAGTCGGCTTTAAAGCTTTTGCATTTCAAGAATTTCTAAGTATTTCGACTCGGCCCCGCTGCGCGGGGCCGTTACCTCTAAATATTTTAGCCTCTACAGTTACTAAATTTTAAAAATATCTAGAAATCTGAGTGCTTCAATATCTCACGGTCTAAAATGTCTAATTCATACGAGTAATAAATATCTAAGAGCCGGCCCGCGGCCCGTTTACTGTATTCATTACCGTAGCGGCTCTGTGGTACTGGTGGTAGCTTGGGCATTCACTAACCTGCGTTACTTTGTAATACTGGTGGCAGCTTCGGTATTCATTAACCTCTAAATCTGATAAATATAATGTATTTAGTTTATTTTATTAGAAACTGAACAACTGGCTGAATGGCTGAAAATCTTACAATTAGTACATGTAGCTAAAGATGCAGTCTGCGAGGTCACTTTAAGCACCTATTAATTGTTTCCCACAAGTTCCATTAATTCTGCGCTGAAATATCGGCTGAATGGTGTTTTATGGGCATGGTGTAAGTGGTCCCACGCCATCCATTTTATCACCGTTTAAATACAATCTGTCGTACCAAGAAAATCAAGTTTTGAGTTGGCTGGATCAGCAGTACAAAGTTACATTAAAAACATGAAAAAGACAAACAAGAAGAAAAATTACGGAGATTTTATAACAATTTTTATAAGTTGATCGATTTTAACCGGAAAGCTTGAAAGCTGTCCGCATTTCCACATGTTTGATATATTTTCGTTGCTGGCCTCGGTTGGGGTTTTATATTTGAAATATTTTATGGCTGTACGAAGTATATTTTGTAATATCTTTCATTTTTCCTTGCCTTGAACACAACTGGTCGCGCGCTAGCGCGACCGATACTTGTATAATATTTAATTATAGACAGAAAAGCGTGACTGTGCTGAATGTTAGTAAAATATTACTACAGTAGTACAGGAAGACCCTGAGCAAGCTGTGCGGAATAAATTAACGATGGTTTACTAAATGCAAAACTAAAAACGCAAGACCGACTACAAATACGGTAAAGTATGTACCTTGTATACTGTACATTATGCGCTTGTATCTTATGAGCAGAGCTGAAATTAAAACAACAGTCTTTGCTATAATCTGATTGCACTGCCAGAAGGAGTACTTCCCCGATTGTTTGACTTTGTTCTACGCTTTGCCTGCACTTCACTGCCCAATACTCAGATCGATTTGCACAGCTTTACGATATTTTTGTGAATAATTTCGGGTCCCGTTTACTGCAGAGTCAACTTTCAACACATATGACAACTCGAAATGTCCTTCCCGGTTATGTGCCGGCTTTTTGCCATTTTGGTTTTTGCCATTTTGGTTTTTGCCATTTTGTTGCTGCTGCGAAAAGTGGTGGTCCTGAAATGTGCATGATGAAGCGTTACGTTATGAAATGTCGGGTTAAGTGAACTGTCGTGTAACAGCTAACAGGTCAGCACGACCACGACAGGAGGAGGCTTATTCGGGGAATGGTGTTATTTTTCAAACAATATTTTTCAGAGGGGGTCGTTATACTGTAAGTCGAACAACTGCGCTTTATGTTCTACTGAGACTGGATGCAGTAGCTATCGGTATCTGTAACTGCACAACCGGGAGACCGAATTTGCACCGCTGGGGTGCGAATTCGATAATTACGGTAGTTACTGTAACGCTATCATCTACAGACATCCTTTACCCACCCGCGGACATTCTTGGCACCCCCATCACGCATTCGTTGACCTTTGTGCTTGAAATTGGGCTTACACTATGTATTCAAATGCTTTCTTCAGATGGGGAACCCGTTTCATCTTGCACCGTCGCTCGCCTGGGTCAGCTGCCGCCGTCCCTCCTCAGCGAGATATTCCCCTATTTGGACTTGCATTCACAAATGCGGGCGAAACGGTAAGAAAACATGGCGCCGAATTGCTAAGTGGCCCGTGGATGTGATGTGCCTGTTTTCTAACGACAGGTCTACTTTGACAGGGTGTGTACATTGTGGCAGCTGCTGCTGAACAGTCCCCGTCTGACGAAACACATCAGTATCTCCTTCGAAACCTGTGCTAAAATTCAATCCGATAACAACAACTGCTTTCGCTTGGCAGCGCTACTGAGCCGCACACTCAGCTCAACAACCGAAAGCCTCACCGTGTTGGGAGCTCTCCGCCCACAAAACAGATTAGTTTTAAATAACGTGCTGGAAGCCATCAAGATTACGCTACCGCTAATTGTTTACACAGACCACATCATCACATATCCCGGACCGATACCCAATTTAACACAGACGGAATTGTGGCATCCTGCAGGTGGAATTACGCGATTCTATGGATGCCAATGCAAGTTATTCCTGCTCCATAACTTGCAAATGGATCATCTTTTCGCATGGCCAATGTACGCGGTTTTTAAATTTAAACCAATGTACAATAATGCAGGCAGCGGTCATCCCTTGCCAGCGCATGAGCAAGCATTTATGGCGGATCTGACGAAACCACCCCACGAACAGCCCATCGACCAAGTGCGCATCACCATTCCGCGGCTGATGTTGCGCGGCGGTGGCGACTTGGACCACCGGCTGCTCATGGCTGGCCACTTCATGTTCGCCTTGAACGACAATTTCCCACCATCCACGGAGGACATGTTAGCCCGGGTGACGGCTGTATATGCTCGCTGGGTGCGCACACTCATCTATCCAGATGATTGGGAGGCGGTTCGCAATTATCTCATAATGTAAGTGCGTTACGGTGGTTTGTAGCACATGAACAAAGCAACCGCTGTATTCGTTGCTCGTTCAAGGCGTTGCTTGCCTCTCCTGTCGGCCAGTTTCGGGTTTTCGTACACTTTCAAAAACGCTTTTTTAAACCTGTAATTCAGCAACGATCTTCGACTGATGCCACTGCAAAATGGTATTAAAAAACGAGCTGCTTGTTCGAAACCTAAATCTCCCACACATACTGGTTTTTCTCCCACACATACTGGAAACGGAACCATTAGTTGCAGGGCAACCTGCTTTTTCTCTAATTGCGTAAAGGGGCGACCATTCCACTGCAGTATTTGTGCTCTCAGTGCCGGTTGGGTTTTCAGTGTTGACCCGTTTTTTTAACGGCCGGAACTGACGGAAACGGGTTACGTTACAAGCTTAAAACGAGAGGGGCTACGATGTTGAGTCTATAACAGACGGGCCGGGTTTAAACGGGATACGGATTCCGTTTCAGGCTGAATTACGGAAACGGGCCGGTAGCCGCATTTTTAAAACGGGCCAACACTGGATTTTATCCGGATATCGCATGCTTTGGGCTTAAGGTGTATAGCTGTATTACTGTGCGCAGGTTCAGCCCTTTCGAACCCGACGGCCGTCCACAAAGATGGGCCAAGGTCGATCTGCGCTTGGTGGATGTCAGAACATTAAGCAGGATGGCCATCTATGGAATTGACGCGGTATTTCGAGTGTGATACTACACAACGCTCGCCTTTGACGGACCACGTCAATGCATGACATACTGCACTGCTGGAGAAATCAAGATCACTTATTCGAGTGGGAGTTTGGCTACAGGGCCGACCATCAGTACTTTTGTACTTACAAAATTAATATAACGCTGATTATAGTACTGTCAGTGCATCTTTTTACAATTGCTTTTTAAGTTGTTGCATCTGCTAGTTTGTTGTGAGCGACACTGAGCGTCCGACTTATGTTCTGCATTATCTGTAGTTGTGCTTCCATATGAAGTGTGTGTGCCAATTCATTACTTTTGAGGAATTGTATTTTTATTTGTTTCTTTACCAACAACAAATTACTATTTTGTGGTGTATGACGTACGACCGGAAGTACGTACGGATATCTCGTGATTATTGCTGTTATTGTTGTGACCTTATCTACGTAGCAACCGGACATGTGAAGCTTCGGTTACTACGTTAGTGTATTCAGTTGACTCTTTGCACTATTACAAAAACGGTAATACTTCTAATAAAGTATTAGACCGTAGACATCACATATTTCGTCATTTTATCATCACAGAGGACGGCCCTAAGTACGGCCGCACGTGGTGATCTCAGCAAAGCGAGGGCAATTCTGTGACGTATTCGAAAAAATGGCGATGGAGCGGAATCGAACCGTTGGCTACCGAGTGTGATCCACGTAGCACAGTCACTGGGCCATCGCCGCTGTTGGCAAAGATCAGCTTGCACTTGAGCCAACTAGGTAGGCGGCGATATGGGCGGCTGTCGTGTGCGCAGAGTCTTCTACTCTGACACCCCTCTTGCAGGCTTCGCTACGAGTGGTGCAAAGGTCATCAACAGCACAAGCAACAGGGAATACGTGTAGCGCGTGATGACGTTGTGATCACGCGGGGTAGAGGAGATACGGGAGTCGCCATGAAAGTTGGCCCGCAGTTGGGCGTCGTACGGCGCCCATTCACGGAGGCCCGTCGAAGGTGGTGGACTCCGGGCCTCCGTGAATGGGCACTGTACCGTGTCGTGGCTTTGCAGTAACTCTGGCGCTGTAATACCTTCGACCACTGTCTAGTTAATATTCAGTGGCATCTCGCTCTTTTGTTGAGGACAACTAGCCGCAGGACATTTTATTGCAACCAATTCGCCGCAAGGTCATCTCGCCTCGCGACAGATCGTCGCGGGACATTTGGTCAGGATACCATGCCGCGAGACATTTCGTCCAACCACTGCCCTACTCAAGGGGCTTCACTGTATTGTATACAGTGAAGATACTGTATTGTATGAAATTGTATTGTATTGTATGAATTGTATGAAATCTGTATTCTGTATTGTATGAAATACAGAAACAATACAGCCCCTAGAGAATGGCGTTGGTCCAACCATAAAAAGCATAAGAACACATAAGAATGCATATGAAAAACATACGAAAACTTAAGAAAACGTAAGAAAACATAGGAAACATAAGGAAACATGGGAAAACATTAGGAAACATGTGAACAGAAGAAAACATAAGAAGACATAAGAAGAAATACGAAAAGCATAAGAAACTGTAGAAAAAATGACGAAAATCCGCGCCGCGTCTTGCGGCAACATGCCGCAAAGGTAAAATGTCCCAATGCAGTATGTCCCAAGCCGAAGTGTCCCAGCGTCCGCACGCGCCGCGGCGAACTGTCTTCGCTGACAAGTCGCGCATCGCATTTGAGTGCGGCGAAATGTCCCACTCTCTGTTGTCCGGGTGCGCCCTGCCCAGTAACCACAAGCGTTCAGATGGCTACAGCACAGTACAGTGCTTATGCGGGTCTGGCCCGGATAACCACTGTGCCGTAGCCTGTAGCCGTCTGAAAATGTGCTATAACAGTATATTTCGACAGTGTCAATAATTTTATGTGTTTTGGCATTTGATCCTTCTTACATGCCGCTGTTCATTTCACGGATTGCTCTGCCTGATTTCTATCAGTATCGACTTATCCCAATCTACTGTAATTTGACTGGGTTAATTGAAGACTTGAGAGCTGCTGCACCGTAAGCCGTCAGTACGTAGATAACAATGTTAACAACGCATGGAACCATCGTAGATCTTTTTTTACATGGAACGACTAAAATTTTCTCATTTTTCTTCACTGCACTGTATCGCAAAAAGGTTCCTGAATTTTAAAAAAAAAACTGTACAGTCGCTCAATTTATTAGTTTTGCTCATTGGGATGTTCCAGAAAATTCACCCTTTTGATCTCATCAAGGTTTTGAGAACTTTGTCGGTGTTGGGCTATCTGCATACTGTACCGTAGGTATTTCGAAAACCGGAATTTTCTAGTATAATAACGGAATAAAAAAGCGTGTACTTGCCGTTTAATACAAATTACGCCTGGTAAGAGGAGGTTAAATTATTTAATGGTCAATGGTCATTAATGGGTTAATGGTGGTTTTCAAAGACCATATTATCACAAATCCCGGCTGGATGGCCTGTGTAGAAGACGCGTACTTGCAGCATCCGGCAGCTGAAAAACTGAACTTCTATAGACGCAACTGCCAGTTAATTTTGCTCCAGAACTGGACAGTCGACCATCTGTTCGGTAAACTAATGTGCAGTATGTTTTCCGATACGCTTTAAACAATCGTTGTATCAAGCATCCCCTGCCAGCACACGAGCAGGCCTTCATGGAGGATATCACGGAGGAACCGCATGAACTTCCCATCGACCACTTGCGCATCACCGTTTCGCGACTGCTGCTGCGCTGCGACGACAGCGAAATGCAAATGACCAGTCGTATCATGCGCATCCTCAACGACAACTTCCCACCGGTCACGGTGGAAATTCTTGAAAAGGTGACCGCTGTGCATGCCCGTTGGGTACACACCCTCAGCTATCCGGAGGATTGGCAACCCATTCGCAATTATTTCTTGCTGTGAGTTTATGTTTGTACGTAAATTATATATAGTCCATCCAGAGGAAGTAGCCCCGTGATTCGTTACGCAGTCACGGAAGAAGCCTGTGCGGCACTATAGCCGTACTAACCGATGAGTAATTTTAATTTTTTTGGCAACCTCTTCCTAAAAAAAATCTGATGCATATTGTTACCCGTTTTACAATATTCTGCATGCATGATTTATGAATTCATGTAACCCACTCTTTAGAGCCGCTTACTGATTAGTAAGTTCGTGCAATGGTTTAATAACACGACCACGCTACAAAGGTTACGCCACTGCATTTACGGAACCGCTTCGTGCTGTGGATGTATTACTGTATTATCGTCCGCAGGTTTAGCCCGTTCGAGCCCGACAGCCAGCCAAAAACATGGGCCAAAGTCGATCTACGGCTGGTGGACGTCCGGACATTAAGCCGCAGGCGCATGGCCATCTACGGAATCGACGCGGTATTTCGAGTGTGAGCACTCTCCACCGCGTAATCAATCTCGCCTGCGATGGAATAGGCTTTCTACTGCATATAATGTAGCTATACTGTACAGATAGCTGCTGTGCAACAGTCGAAGCCCACTTGAAGGTTTAAGGGCGGATAGTTTATTTTATGGTTTAACCTGCAATAATTTTATGGTTTACATAACCTGCACGTAGCAGTACTTATAAGTACTGTTTCTGTTATATTTGCTCGCTTGTTCTCTTCTTTGTTGCTGCTCGCGGTTGTTCGATGACTGTCGTTTGTCACTGTTTGCTCGCTCAGGTTTAAAGTATCAAAACTACCAAGGCCTGAGGGCTGTAATTTTAAAATGTCTTCTTGGAAAAGGCGTCGCTACATACACTGTATTGAAGACAGACCTAGACAGTTAACTTAAGCTATTTATGTGAAGAGAGCGAAGTGTACAGTTATCCTGACGCACAATGTTCGTATATTCTCGGGACCTATAAAAACGCACCGCTGTTCACATTATATCCCTGGTCCCGGCGTGTTATCCATATTATAACGAGTACGCAGAAATCTAACGCATTACGCTCATCCCGGACACCCGGCGCCAGTACCCATCGGTCCCGCCCTTCGACGCCCGTCAGCATGTACCTCGCGACTCCCGCATTCCTCACTGACCAGCAACTCACGGTCCTCGCCCGCGTCCACGCCCAGCCCGCTCCCGTCCACCCCGCGCGCATACATTCTCGCACCATTACATAGAAACATCAGTGGGCGTGCCAGATTGTGTATTGCAGTCCCGAGCTCGTGGCGGGTGGCGTTGGAGATCACGTCGATTACGCTGATGAACAGGGAGGATGGCGTTCTTAAGGAGTGGTGGGGATTCCTTGTCTATGAAGAGCGAACGGGGGATAATGTCATGTGCGCCGGTGGATACGAGCTCTGCGATCAGGCCATGTGCCGATAGAGCGTCAGCAGTACCGGCAAAGGATCGGAGGGATTTCCGGCCGCCGTCGTGTTACAGTCTGTATCTGGCCAAAAAAGCACTGCCGCATTTGCGGCATACAAAGTAGTGGTACTGCACTTTTCGGACAACGACATACGCCGCTATGAAATGCGGTTGAAGTGCACAGTGTCAGTCATCGCAAATGCACCCAAACCGGCGGCATTCGGATTTCAACGTACTATACCGAAGATATCGTTCGGCAATTCGGCAATCGACCGCTGTAAGATTTTCTGAACTGCTTGTTATTAAAAAAGACGTGCTGATTAAACCTCGGTAAACAGTCACCTCAAGTCAACGTGAGTAGGTAAGGAATGTCGCCAATGCCCATGACGTGGATTTTCCACCGACCGTTTAAATTTTAAGCTACAGTACTGCAGCAAAAATTTTCAAAAGAAATGGTTTTAGGTTCAGTGTGTTATTGTTAACCAACGGTGTGCATTTCCATTTAGGCGAAAAAAGTTTTAATACCTCGGACACTTTTTTCCGAGTAGCCACGCCCCTAAACTGGCAGCACGGAGGGGAGATTGGCAATTATTCAGCTCAGTGAGAAAGTAGTGGACGGAATAAAATAAACTAAACGAATCTTGTGGGTTCGAGTCGTTCAGTGGACAGCTGACCTGATAGAGCTACGTTGCAGCCCTAAGCTATTCATTAGTCAGCCAGGCTCAATTGTGTATTTGTTTGTCTCGGTTCTTCTTCAACATCAACTTATTTATTCATTTAAGCAACTATAAAAACAGTAGCATATTCATTTCAATATTTAACCGATTGCACCTGTGGAATTTTATTCCGCGCTAATATGCCTGGATGACTTTCGGTGCCTGCGCTGTAAGTACGATACAAAAACCTTCGCAATGCATTGAAATATGAGACGTTCTCGATAGCATCTGGGTAGAATTTACAGTATAAAGAGACCTTTTACAATATAAAGAAACTATGTAATTTTACAGTATAAATCTTCCTAAATAAACTGTCGGAAAATTCCAAGTGTTCTAGAGTCCCTTCCGCTTAATTTGCTTTGCAAGACAATGGGTCTTTAAATAACATGAGACTTTTGGAAAATTCTGCTCGTTGCTCAGCATAAGCGGGATTAAAGCTGTTCAAAAACAGCTCACATCATACAGTTTGGCATTCTAGACAACCCATCATGGATTGTGCGTCGTTAGTAGTGTCGCAGTTTCAGGCACTTCTGGCCGATGCCAGCCAGATGAGTTACCAGAACACGGTGGCGGTCCACAATGAAGACAGCAGCTGGTGGCTGGGATACATTCAGGATATGGACGGCGAGCTGGCCTTCATCCACTTCGACGCCAAAAAGTTCACTGACCGCTGGGTGCACATGGTACGCGTCTGGGCCCTACCCTTCTTCTGGGACGACCGGTCCCAACGGGATGCGCACAATATGCCCGTCTATGCGGCACTGCGGGACGAAGACGACGGACCGTTCCGCTTCCGACTGGTGACGAAGCTGAGCCGGTTCGGGGATGTGAAAAGATGTGCGAAGTGTTCTACATTAAAACCGGTAATGCGGCTTACGACGCTCGCTGCGAACTGGTGCAAAACTGTCAAATTATCAAACAGCTGCCGCCCGCTGCTTCGCCGTTGCTTCATCAAACCGGCACTGGTCTGCTGTGCGCCAAGTACGTGCTCCCATTTCCCCGCGCCCAGATGGTTCTCAGTGACACTTCCGATAAATTCCGCATCATCATGCATTTTCGCAAGGCATTTCAAAATCCGCCATTTCTTCGTGTGACGTACTGCTGCGACTTTCACGCCTCCGGTGAATTTTCAATCGGCAAACAGTTTCGTAACGCAGCGAAAAATAACACGGCATATGGCATCTTGTCGGACAGTTGCCGCTTTCACCTGCGAACTGAACGGGACAGATGTATGTTTGTCGTCATGTTCTTCGCAATGGATGCGGAGATGTCACAGCATGTGCCTGAAACGTTGACCGAGGTGCTGGAGACGCATCTGGCCAATGGGCAGCGTTTCCCACCGATTCGTTCACGAAATCTACCAATGACTGACCATGCTATGTATAATAATGGTAAGGAGCTGTTTTTTCACAGCTTCAAGCGAGCCATTACATCGCCACATCTGTGGTACCTCACCTTCACCGGTGCCTTGCAGCTGTTTAACCTCGAATACGGTGTACTTTACTGATTACAAGATTACGCTTAACGCGAAGCGTTTTCCATTTTTTTCGCTATACTTTAACACTGCATTTGGCGTTTTGTACTTTGATTACCCACCTCAACTTGTAAAAACTGTACGAGCAGGGACAAGCTTTATGGAATAGGTTGTTCTCAGAGCTTGGGTAACAGTGTTAAATCCCTTCAGATGCGGAATCCGCTTCAGGATGCTCGGTTGTTAATTTATGCCACCTGCAGCCGTTTCTTCTGAGCCAGACATTCTCGCATATGGACTTACACTCACAAATGCGGGCCAAAGGGTAAGCAAATTTTTGTACAGCTTTGACAGCTGGGTTTCTAACCTTGCCAGTTATTGTTCTGTTACGATCCACATCGCTAAACTTTGCAATGTCGAAGAGGATCCATTTGCTTTCTTATTATATCTGACCGTAGACGAATCAACTGGTCAGAGTTGCGCCAGCTGTCTAATGTATTTTTTGTGCTGACAGGGTTTGCGCGTTGTGGCAGCTGCTGTTAAGCAGCTCCGGCCAGACCACACACATCAGCATCTCGTTGGAAAGCTGCGCCGGAATTCACTGCGATAACAATAACTGCTTCCGCGCGGCATCGCTACTGAGCCGCACCATCAACTCAGCCACCACAAGTCTCACGTTGTTGGGCGATTTCCTTCCGTACAAGTTACTCTTTCTACACGACGTGTTGCGCGCCATGAAAATCAAACTGCCCTTGATTGTCTTCAAAGACCATCTTACCACGGATCTGGGAGGAATGGTCTGTAACCGCCAGTCGTATTTGAAGCACCCTGCAACCAATGTTACGACCTTCAACAGGCGCAGTTGCGGCACTCTCCTCCTGCGTAACTGGACAGTGGACCATCTGTTCGGTGAAAGAATATGCTGCGCATTTAAATTCCCTTTCTACGATGACAGCCCCATACATCCCTTGCCAGCGCATGAACAGGTATTCATGAGGAATGTCACTTTGGAATCGTATGAGTTGCCCATCGACACACTGCGCATCACCATTCCGCGACTGCTGCTGCGCTGCGACTGCAGCGAAATGCACATGGCTAGTAGCGTCATGCGCGCCTTAAACGACAACTTCCCGCCGGTCCCGGAGGACATGCTAACGAAGGTCACAGCGGTGTACGCCCGCTGGGTGCGCACCCTAAGCTATCCCGATGATTGGCAGGCCGTTCGCAGTTATCTCTTGCTGTGAGTGTGTATTTGTGGATACGGGCGACTTCGTACACGTTAAATTTTTCGAGGCATGTGTTTTTACTTATTTCCATATTCCACAGTATCCCTATCCGTATAATTACTTTACGTAACCGTCATATATCCTGCTGAATACGTCATTGGGGGTTATCAGGAACTGCACGATCCCAATGTATCGCAACGTATCCTTGCTGTCTTCGTTGGGTCTCGTTTAAGTATTCAGATAACGTTCTCAGTTTTCCTGGTGGAGTATATTCGCGATGCATAAAGGAGATACGGCGGGATACGATAGTGGTTAAAAAAAGTGGAAAGTTTGGAGGGGTAGATGAAGGATACGAAGATTAATAGAGGATACTGTGGGATACTGTGGATTCAAAACACATGCCCGGAAAAAATAACGTGGACTAACCGTGCAGTAGTGTAGATTTGTACTACATGAACGTCAGGAAGTGGCCCTCGTGCGATGCTGTCCTTCGACACGTTTCGAGGATTTTTTCACTGCCGTTATCAGCATTAAGCCTAGTGCTGATGTCCAAAGTGCCACTAATGAAATCGAAGACCGCACTCGTCCGCACAATGCATTCAGACACTGCGCACCTGTATCGACTGAATGCTAACAAGAGCAGACAGTGGTCGAACGTATTAGACAATACAGCGCATTGTCAGAATTAGTGAAAATTGCAAAGCCCCAGTCGCTGTACAGTGTCTGTGTTAATTGCACAGTGCAATTAATTTTAGTCAGTCAACTTTTCATAATAATACAGTTACAATGTTAATTTAGCAACCGGCGTGGCACGGCTTGGTCTTTTACTGCACAACCCCACAGCACGCATTGATTGCTCTACAGGTCGCAGTAACGACACGTTACTACACTACGCCGCACGGCGCCTGCGAAGGAACATGCGTGCTCAAAACGCTCAAAAGCTCTACAGTGGACGCCATAAATGTGGTTACACCGATAGCCGATAGCGCTATGCATACATAAGCATAGCGCTATCGGCTATTGGTGATAGCCGATAGCCGATAGCGCTATTCGGCGCTATGCTTATGTACGCTATGCATACATAAGCATAGCGCTATCGGCTATTAACCATATAAGTGGCGTCCACTGTAGCTCGGCACCATCAGAAAGACATGACACTGTTGTTTAATAAATTCTTTAACAAAACGATGTGTACCAATTGTAAAGAGTAAGCTGACTGGCAGACGTAGTGGAAGCGGGAACATCATCGGTTTGACATGTTATAACAGAGCACGCCGCACTCCGCTGAACGCTCTGCGCTACTCCTTTTTGATGCTTCACCGAAGGGCGGAGATAACAGCCGACATTTTTTATAGCAATACGTATGGGCAGCACCTCGCGGCATTTACATACATACTAGTATATATTAAGTTTTCTTATTTACGCTGCCAGTTACTATTTTTGGTATTTTATCTGGACTTAGATGAACGGGTGAGTTTTGTTCTGATAATTATGACGCGTATGTACGTTGTACGACCTAAACTATGAGCACCGGCTATTTGGTACTGGATGCCAAAATTAAATTAGAAAATCAAACGAACAGTGTGCGATAGAAAATCATCCAATGCGTATAAATCACCCGCACTGGACTCGAACAGGGCAGCACTTGTCGGCGCAGTTTGCTTTAAAACCAAGCATCTGCTTTACTACGGTAGTAAAGATGTGTTTTATACAATGTGTTTTTATGGTCTGGCTTTATTTTATTTGAAGTAGTACTGTGTGCAGGTTCAGTCCCTTCGAGCCTCGACGGTCGACCGCAAACTTGGGTCAGTGTCGACTTGCGACGGGTGGATATCCGGAACCTAAGTAAACTTGCTCTCTACGGTATCGATGCACTCTTTGAACTTTAAATGTGACACTTGATGCACCGCCTCGCCAAACCTCGCTGTTGACGGGATATGGAAATGGCTATGCTTGTGGTCGAGAACATTTTGGAACGTGGTCACGTGGAGGTTCAAGAACTGGGAATATTTTGCATGTCCGTACGTGCAGTTATTCAGTACGTTACTATGTTTGATATTAAATATTCATTGGTATGTTGTCGTCTTCTATCAGTCAGTGTATTTTCCTTGCTTTTTATTTGACCATTTTGTTCTGTAAAATTATGCTAGCGTGGTTTTCTTGGTTCTCTGCTTACTTATTAAGATATTTTGCGGGTCCACCGGAAACAAAATTGGGAAGAGTAAAAATCGGCACTTCCTAATACAAGATTCAGTTAATCCGTTGTACAACTCGTTTCCAGGAATTTCATGCAGAACCAAAGGTCAACCAATAAACAAACCAAATAGACTGTCCGAAACGGGGATTGACTATTCAGTATTTCTTGCAGTGAATTAGTTTTCTTTTATTTTGTTTTATATATGTACAAACGCTTTCGGCGCAATTTAAATGCATCAGTCGCAAAAAAACAACAACCAATAACAACTTGCAAATGCTTAACAATGCTGCATAAAATCAATAACAACTCCACAAACAACAATTCTCAAACTCTCCTTCGCATGGCATAAAATCTTGCAAATGCTTAACAAAATTCGCGAAATTATTTTAGCCGCCTAAAATCTGTTTGGATGTTCCGAGAGCACGATCACCGGCAAAGGCTCAAACTGCGGCACATCGACCTCCACGCTCGGCGTCGGAAGCGGTTGCCTCACCGCAACTTCTTTGAGACGCTCGGCATACCGTTCCGTCACAACGACATTCCACACGAACGCCACTAAATTGAGGAGGAAGGACACCACCCAGCCGGCGACAGGCCAGATGATCATTCGCAGGCGGGTGCCGCGGTGGTGGAAGATGTCGCCGGTGATCTGGATGAGAACCGGCGCAAAGGTCACCAGCAGCAGAAAAAGCAAGGAGTACGTGTAGCGTTTGAAGACGATCAGAGCGCGAGGAGTGGCCGAAGCGTCCGCCTCGGGATGGAAGATGGTGCGCAGTTGGGCGTCGGAGGTGGTTGGCTCCGGGAGTGGGCGCTGCAGTTGGTACATCCAGAAAAGACCGAGGAGGGCGAAGAAGATCAGCATACCGCCGATCACGTACAGGCTCACAGGTAATACGGATTCTGCAACAATTAAAAATTATTGTTTCATGTCCTTATAAATACATACACATATGAAGCAGAACAGTTCACGAATAAGTTCGAAATTTTAAAGGAATACAGAAGGTTTTTTAGTTTGAATTTGCAATCTGCTACTTTTATAAATTAATTTAAATTAATTTGGGATTTATAAATTAATTTGGGATTTGAGAAATAATTTATTTTTCAGAGAAACTTCTTTATTTGTCATGTTTGATGGCAGAATGAAGCTGACCACGCCGCAAAAATAACTGCAGAACTCCTTTCTCGTTTTCTAGTCGTAGTTAATTTACATGATCACGTACTGCACAAATATGCGGCCTCAGATTTAACCTTTCTATCATTCGAGAAAAGGTCACTTTACTATCAACGTACCTAGCAAAAGCGGCGGCGCCACAATCATGGCCACGCCAGTGGCCACATTGAGAAAACTCTGGAAACCGATGGTGACCAGCATCCGTAAGCGAATAGTGCCGGCCGTGTCGTCGCCGTTATACGCCAACATTATTGCGGAAAGAGTGTCTAAACCAATGCTGCACAATGTCAGAAATAATTACCCAACTAATTCCTTAATAGCCTATGTAGAAACGTACCTAGCTAAGCTAACTGCGAATGGGAAAAGGCCAGCGCCACCGGTACATATAGTGCCGCGTTCTGCGTGAACGGCAATGTCGCGGTATGGACGTTGGACGTGACGCACTTGCGGTTGGATTCTCCCGCGCAAATACTAACCACAACTTGCGTACACCGGCCGCCATTGGTCGACGTGGTGCGCACGTGCCGACAGCAGTTACTCCTTCCAAAATATCTGATTTTGAGATTTTTATCTCTGGTGTCTGTTATAGTTTGTACGGAAACCCGTTTAACGCTTTACACGGGTAACATTAATAGTAGCGACGATAGCTTTTTGAGCAATACGCCATCAATCTGCTCATCAGTTGGCGACTGAACACTGCGGCTGAGTCACTCTGCAAACACCGGGATAAGATCGCTATATTACTGTTTAAATAAACATGTTATTGAAATTTGAGACGATTGGGTAACTTTTCCATATTACAGCCTTCAACTATTCGAACACGAAGGCCTACACAGTCACGTTTCCGGTAGTGCAAAATTAATGTTTTTTTTGCGGTCGAGAACTGACTAGTCACACTACAAGCTCTCGGAACAGACGCAAGAAAAAGCAAGGTTTATCAGTTATCAATTTCGGCTATTCGCAATCACAGCAATGCAGTGCGTGAGTACGAATCCATCCGCGACAATTCAACTTCGCTTATTTTTATCATTTTAACTGTACGCTTTCATATACTGATCATCAGGTGTTGAAATTCCCAAGAAAACGAAGTCGTAAGGAAATGGTTACTGGTCTTCGTAAGCAAGTAAAAGCTCCGCTGATGAATTCCCAATCACTGCATAGAACAATTAATAGGAAATAAATTCTTCGCATACAAATTTCAACCACTTTTATTCGTGGCATATATAAGCTCGGAAAGCTTTCATTGATTAAATTATGCACAGAGTAATGTCCTTTAGAACGAAGTTACCCGGGTATTTATTTTAACGACTGAGACTGAATTTCGATCAAACACCGGTTTTCTTATGGATCTTCTTTTGACCACGTTAGTTGCAGGAATTTGTTGTATCGCAAAGCTAATCAAGAGGTTTTTACGCCAGTTCGAGCATGATGTTCTTGGACATTGTGAGACTAAGAAAAGTGGAAATCGGTTAGTCAGTTGTGAATAATCGTACGCACATTTGTTTTTTCAATGTGTAAATTCGAACTTTTTAATTAGTGTCTTTCGGCGCAGGCTTTTTGTTACGTTTAATTGGCTATTGCCTGAATAAAGGAAAAGTTCTGAATAAGAAGATCAGCAAACAGTGTATAACAGAAACACAACCAATGCGCAAGAAAACGCCACCACTGGGTACGAACAGAGAAACTCTCGCTAACGGCTCGTTCTGAGTAGTATGCGATAAAACAAACCACCAGCCACACTTGGGCATTTTGTCATGCGTTTGCAAAGGTCACTTTATTGTTGAATCAAAATAAGTGTCACTTTATTGTTGAATCAAAATAAGTCAAAATTTACTGCGTCAAAGGCGGTGCAAACTGTATAACCGAGTATTTTCCCGTCAGCATCCAATCAGTCTCGTTGGCGTTCAGCTGCTGCAGTCTCTCCTGATCCGTCACGCCCACCAACACCGTCGTCTTCACCCCGCGCAACGCCGCTACCGCCGTCGGCCGGAAATTCCGCAGGACATACCCGAACTTCTCCTGCGGACTCCAGCGCAGTTCGCCGGTTAGTTTCCGATAATTCAAATCCCCCTTAAAAATCAAGAGGTCCTCCTTCTGCAGCTGCGCATACAACCCCGGCGCTTTAACATCCATGACGTCATAATCGTACGGCAGCGTCCAGAAACGGTCCGCGCTAAGTTTAAACTGTCCCGTCGTTAGATATCCCTGCCATTTGGTCCCGAACTGCCCGGTATGCTGCTGGTCGACCATGCGCAGCGTCCGGTGGAAATCGGGGATGATGACGTCGGAGACGAACCAGGGCAGGGCTTTGACGTGGTAGTGGACGGTGGCGACCAGGCCGGAGACGATGAGGAACTCGCCGAGGATCAGGTCGGTGGTCAGCTCGAAGCCGAAGTTGTCGCAGATGATGGCGATGTGGGCGGAGCGATTGAGGCGTTGTAAGTACGACCAGATGGCTTCCGATTGGTCGACGAGGAGGAGCTCTTGGATCTGCTGTTGTTCGTCGTGGAAGTCGTGGGACACGACGTGGCTGGATTTGTTGTGAGTGGCCGTGAGGGAGAGGTCACCTTTGTTGCCCCACACCGACAACTGCAACGCACATTCACAAGTTTTACGGCATTTACATAGCCAGTTATTTACCAATGGCAAAAATTAACGGGATTAATTGTAATTTATTTCGTCTGATTTTATTTTGCAGTTGCTTTTAATTCATTTTAATTTTTTATTGACTTCAGTAAGGAAATTATTTAACTACCAGTTTTGATTTTAATTAATTTGTGCAGGATGATCTGATTAATTGCTAATCTGTTAAGTTTGAGTAGAATTAGTTAATTACTTCCACATTTGTTTAAAAATTTAACAAGCCACTTTTTTTGCTTGAATTATTTTTTTAAAGTCTTTTATTTTATTTAAAGCTTATGTTACTGTTTTCGGGTGTTTGGTAATATTAGAAAGCGTGGACTTATTACTCGCATAATATTCATTAGATGCTCTTTAACCAGCGGATCACTACGGTTATGACTGGCCGCCACCGCTTCCAGGGTGTTCTCCAGATAATCCAGCAACGCTTGAATATTGTGCATATTATGCTCCAGCGATTCCTTCTTCTTCAGGTGAAAATGATCGGTTGTCCAAGATCTACGATAAACATGCATCAGCACTGTAGCGGAATTCCTTAAGTGCAGACTATGCAGTTAATGGCGATTATGACTGACTCGCGTTCGAAGATGTAGCTGAGGCGACGGTAAAAGTAGCATTCCACGAAGGTGGTCGGGGAGTCGTACCAGCGCGGCACATCGCTCTCGTTGCGCTGGTTCCAGGCTAGAGAGCGCTGCAAGGCCCAATTCCATTCCGCCAGATCGTCGCCGACGCTGGAATTATTCCCCAGCGGAAATTCTCTGATGGGCGCGTTGTCCGTCATCTCCTGCTGTAATTCCGCCAGTGACCTTTCGATGCGTAGCTGCCCGGCGATGTCCTACCGCAAAACGAAAGCAACGCGTTAAAAACCCAAACAGAAAATAAATAATAATACGCACAACGGGAATGGAGTCATTTTTGAGGGATTCCACTGCAACCAAAAAAACGTGCACCAATCAAAAAGCGGCCAGACGAGGATGAGACAAAGGGGAGTACCATCAAGTTTGTAGTCCGCTAGAACGCCGGCCAAGACCGCCGGCAGTCGTTTCTCCACGGTGAAATGCGCGTTCGTTCTGTCAAAACACGTTAACTGTTAATTATTTAAAAACTCGGCTAACGATAACGATTTCAAAGCCAACGAAATTCTTGTTACACGCAGGAAGATGTAAACGTTTATATGGTAGATTACCCGGGCGTCTCCGCCCACCAGAAGGGCGGTAGGAAGCGCTGGCGAGGATCGTAGAAGCGGAGACTATCCACGACATTTTCCGCCTGCAGTGTCGTATTCCCGGTGGTTGGCGCCGATACCGCGCTACCCAATAAGAAACCCAAGACCAACAGACACTGCATGGTAGCGTGGTTACCGATGGTGTTTTTCGGGGATCCGGATGTCTGTTATGCAGCAGCGATGAAACGATGCGAACGACAACAACAACGAACGAACGATGGCAGACTATAAATGCACTGATACCAGATCAAACACCGCGCGTTCGATAACAATCTACTGTAAAATTCCTCTCTTTGGTGCAGTCGCGGTTTGTAGACAGTTTTTGCAACCTGCAGTTAATTCCGGCAGAGAGCAAAGGTCAACGCGGATGGCGATAGCGATCGTGTACTGTACTTGAATTCTGGTTATGTAATAATATCGTTATATACCTGCTGTTCGCGTTGTGCTTTTATTTGATGTACTGTAATGTATTCGAAAGTGGAGCTAGTGTCGACGACGGCATCCCTGTTTTCAGCCAGTATTTAGAAACTCCGGACAATCGTAATATGATTTTGCGTACTGTTTATCAGCGACACGATGTATTCTCCGGGTTGTTACACATGCTAGAAACTTTTCAAAAATTGATTATGTGATAATCAGTGCTTTATTTCATAAAATACAGGTACGGTACACTGAACACAGATCAAAAATAGTTAATCACAGTAACAAAATCTCATTTAACGCTATCGCTCCCTCCATTGTTCCGAGTACGGAAGCGGCGTGATAATTAGTGTTTTTATGCCAGTTTGTACTTGAGAATTATAAGAAAATTGTGAACAGTCGAAGTATGTATTTCCCATGTTCTAACTGCAATGCACTCTAAACCGGAAAGAGACATCTAGAAACCACAAATGTACGTCATACGCATCAACCGATTGTCCTTAAATAAATACCCTTATCACACCAAGCAAACAGTTTTCCTAGCCGCTATCATTGTCCTTTCTGCGCTTGCATTTTATCCATTATGATGGAACAAAACAGTTTGCCCGTGCCTTTTGAAACGCGTGTAATAATCTATGCCACAATAATTTAAAGCAAAGTTAGTTCAGAAATGCCTGCCGATATTGACACCCCCGTTGCCGCAATACGCCTACGCATGCTGCTGACCGTTGGTCTGCAAAGTGTCCTTAATGCCGTCGCCGGTATTACCGTCATCGTTCTGCCACCGCTCATTATTCGTGCGTTCCATCGGCCTAGTAATTCATTTTTCAAAGATTTTCATATTATTAAATTTTATTGCAATGCTGTTTACGAAAATCAGTTTTTTTTTATTTTAACTGGTCAAATATTTAAAAAAAACTGGTAGAATAAAACTTATAGCATTTCTAATTTTTACTTTTTACTTTTATTAGTTTTATAAATTTGTTTTACTTTTGCATGCTTGAATTTTAGTTTTTATTTATAGTGCCCCTATTTCCTTCTTTTCGATTTGTTCATAATGTTTTTTTGTTGTACAGTATATCCATATTTTAATTTGTAGAAGGCGCGGTGCCGATTAGTCTGTACTGCATCGGCGGTGTACTGCTCTTTTTTGCGCTGCTCGGACTCTTCTGGATCTACAGAATACGTTTCAGCGACAGTAAATCCCACCGTTTTCCTACAATCTTCCCAACATCCCAGTCCAGCGAATCCTTGTGCATCCTTGTCATTTTCAAGCGCTACACGTACTCTCTGCTGTGCATCCTGCTGCTGACCTTTATCCCGGTACTAATCCAGATCCCCAACGATATTGTCAACCGTCGCGTTAGCCGATTGATTGAGTGGCCGATCTTCACATGGGCGGCGACGTTCTTCCTAAATTTGGCGTGTTTCATCGGGAATGTCGTGATGGCTGAACGGTACGCGGAGCGATTGAAAAGGAGCACGGCGCGGCGCGCGTCACTGGCATGGCATGGAGGGCGCCACAGTCGGATGGTCCGCCGCCACCGTTTGAACCGTTGCCGGCACTGCTTGCCGTTCAACGCTAAAGGAACCATTGCAATTGGGTGTCTCAAATTTTTTAATTCAATTAGACCATTTTTAGCCGTGCAAATAACTTGGTTTTTTGTTTTATGTGTCCAGTTCCCTGTGAAATTGCTAGTCATACTTTTGACGCATTAGATTTTGTAATTACTGTTAGTGCGGTAATCAGTCTTCTTATCATTTTTGAGTAATTCAAATAATCGAAGAGAACTCGTTGTAAATCGCAAATTATGTACGACATACGCTTCCGGTATAATAAAGACAGAAGTAGTGTACTTGTCTGTAGCGTGTCTTATACTTATCAGGGAAACGAAGATTGCTGCGCTATCTACGCAGATTACTGATTAGAAAACATACAGGATGATCGCATCAGCCACCGATATGTCTGTTGCAGGTTCTTATCGCGGCAACCGCGAACTACTTGTCACCAACATTTACATCTTATGAGCGTTCTAGAAGCGTTCTCCGGGTGACAAGGCTTGGTTCATTTCACCGTTGTATCTCGTATATGAGGACGCAAAGTAATGAGTAAACAGGCATACGCATTTATTTAACTGACCACTCGACAATTCGGAATATAACGAACCATTAGTAAATCCACCATTAATTTATTACGACACAGTGCGAAACGACTAGCCAATCATATGGCATTCGATCTGGGCATCGCTGATGAACAGGCCGTGGCCAGTATCCGTCGGCGCATGTTCCTGACCATCTGGATCCAGACCATCATCATTACCACCGCCGGGATTTTGATCATGGTGCTGCCACCTTGTCTTCTCCGTAAGTACATCACAGTTACACTAATCAAGCGAGCGACGCTAAAGCTTATTTTACGGCGTATGTATTGTCTTCTGAATCCGTGTAGTCGCCATTCATTCGGCAGACTGGGCGGTAGACGCTCTGTTCTCAGCCTAATCACCCGAGGAATTTGTAGATAGCTCTCACGGGCGGTTGCTCTAATGTCCAACCCACGAATAACGCTTGTCTGCCTTTGTAGCGCCCGGTTCCGTTCCGCTCAGCCTGTACTTTATCGGCGGCGCGCTCTTCTTCACGCTCTTCCTCGGCAGCACCGGCGCCCACAAAGTCCGCACCCTGCAACCCACCGACATCATCCAGCTCGTCCCGCCTGACCACCCCGTCGACGAGCCGGTTATCCCCTCGAAAGACTTCAAAGAAGCCAGGAAGTTCCCCATGCTCTTCGCGTTTCGCAGCTACAACTACGGAATGATCGGTCTGCTGGCCGCCAGTCTCATCTCCGTGTTGAGCGAAGTCCCCAGGGATATTCTACAAGGACGGGTGGCCATGATCAAGTGGCCGCTCATCGCGTTCGGCGTCGGCTTCGTCCTGCAGTTGGCCTGCATCATCAGCAATGCCATCGCGGCCGATAATTATGCAAAGGAACTACGCCCCGAAATCCGGGATTTCGCTACGTTTGAGGAGATGGTGCGACGCCGGCAGCGGGAGCAGGCCGGCGTCGGTGAGCCGGTGAAGTTTGAGTCGCTTCCACGTCTGACTGTGCCGAGCGAATCACCGGACGACACGCTGCAAGTTATTCTGCGGAATAATTAAAAGAACATATAACGGCGCCTCGTTTCCCAGTCTGTACATAATCAGGCAATTTCCAGTGTAACAAACTGTGTGACGTAGTTGATCCAGCCAAATACAACCGCACCTCATTAGACATGTGACTGCAGTACGATTTCCGACGCTAGATTATGATTTAAGTAATGCACTTGAATGATTGAGCATTACGTAAATGCCAGGCAGTATTCAACTACAATACAAGCATAATATACGCTCGTTACGCTGCATGCAGTCCACTTTCAGCTATTAATCCGCATGTATAGAAGACTAGAAGTATGGCAGATTTGCACTCTTACGCTACCGGCCACAATATAACAATCGTAGTTCAAGAAACCAATTTAACAACGTAGAATCTCCTGTTATGCCGTATCGGCAAACAGTTGACAAACAATCCGATGATAATATGCAATTTCTCTGTGTATTTGTCTGCGGGCATATCGTTGCTTAAGGTCTCGTGCAATGAGTCAAGCAGTATTTTGTTACTAAACTTTCTTCAGCGACCTTTTTATTTCCCAGTTATACCGCGGACCAGGCGGTCGGCTTCCAATTTCTTAGTATAAACCGTGTACATGGTATAACACCCATCAGCCAGTCGCCGTCCAAATGGCACATGAAATACTAACTAACATATTTATGTATAATGGCGACATACATTCTATGTATAGCCTTTGATTCCATTCCAATCATCCTGTACATTGTCGGCGGCCTCCTCATCTTGGGATCCGCCGTTAGTTGGGTGCTGGGCGTCTCTTGTGTCCTCACCATCAAACCGGCCGACTCACCATCCCGCCACCGGTCGACCCGATGGAAGCCCTCTCCGCGGTGGACCTGCACGAAGATAAGCGGTATACCCTGTTCGCCTTCCGTCAGTACAACTACGCGCTGATGGGGATGCTGGTTGGCGATCTGATCGCTGGTCTCATCACCATCTGCACCGTCCCCGATGGCAGTCGGCGCGGCCCGGGGACCAGCATCCTATGGCCGCTGGTGGCCTTCGGATCGGGCTTCTTTCTATTGGGGGCCTTTATTATCTGCAACTTTGTCGCAGCGGACAGCTACGTGGAAGAACTGCGACGTTGGCCGCGAGCGCGGGGCGCCGACACGGCGCCGTTGATGGGCGCAGCGTCCGTACCGCGACCTGCAGCATCCTCAGAGCAGACGCTGTAGACTGCTCTACGGAATGCGTTTTGCCATTGAATTCCTTGTCTACTCTTGTTCACGCTTAAACGCGTCGGACTGCGTTCGCATAATACAATTATTCTGGGCATACACGTATTGAAGTTGGACACCATTTGATTATTTTGTGTGATGTTTAATCTTGCTAGCTGGACCACCGATGCCCTTTAATGTCATCGCCAACAGTGGCAGCTAATTCGGCAGCATATCAGTTGTGGTGTTGTACTGACATCTGCAGAATCAAATGATGGTTATACCGTAATAATAAAGTATCATGCGCTTCTAATGCTTTTCAAAGAGTGTAAACTGTAGTGCGCTCTTTTTGTCAGCACGCCGCATGGTTGTCCTTGGGTGTACGGGTAATTAATATACGTTGTCATTGCTCTTTCTTTCACCCGCACACTGCAGATATAATTTACAATGTACGACAAAGTAGTTTACAATGCACACTGTACAAAACTTGTACAACTTTTGTACAATGTAGAAAAGTAAGTAGAGTGGAAAATAGACCGTTAGGGCTGCGGTCGCGCGTCAGCTACTTACTTTTGTCGTGTGCTGTAAGAGGGTCGCTACGGTAGGAAATGTCACAGCTCCTTTTTTTAGATTTTACTGGTACACATTCACAACCCTGTAGGAAAGTGAACTAGCTTTTTGCGGGCTCTGGATGATCAAAGCGCAGCAGGATTATGTAATGCGTCTCGCGTAATTTTATTGTTTAGTTCAACACTCTTTCGACTAGTGCATTAGTAACACTTCGATCTTTTCTGATATTCTGCTCACTTGGAGGATACGGTTTCGTATTTTGCTCACCGGGTTGCCAGCACCACCCCCACGTAGCGTGCGTGTAATAACTGCTGATCGCACGCTTTGCCTTTCGAGTTGTTTTTTCGCTACTCAGTATAATTAGGTCAAATGGAGTTTGTTGAAAACCCATATTGTTGAAACTACATGTAGAATGCGTGAAAAATCTGTTTTTCTCCACTACATCGTGATCCGGCTCACTTTCAACTGAGAAAAATTGGAGTACGCACTTAATATGCTCGTAACGGCCGAACTACAGCATTGAGTAATCACAGCCTAACAAAGCGCTCCTACATTCAGGAATATCTCACGGTAGAACCTGCATGTTAATATTCGCAGCGCAAGTATGTGATACCTTTGACTATAAGGGTCCTGCGTGTACATACAGAGCGCCTAGCATCACGAAGACGACCTTCGTTTCGATGGAATATTACTCGTAATTTCCCGCACGCAACGTAATCCACATGTGCCCGCTGGCCGTATATTATATGTGCATATGTGTACATACACGTACATGTACTACACGTACATATGCGCATATATGTACATGTACTACATATTATATGCACTTATATTGCGTGTGCAATATAAAAACAACCAACCGAAAATGTACAAGCTTGTCCGGAAATTTCTTACGAATCCATACAGCGATTTACATAAATTTGCGTGTTACGCCAAACTGCAAACTACGGCGCGCCACGCCACACTTTTCAAACACGTAACTTGCATTTGGCTGGGTAGTGGCTTCGTACACGCCATATAATTTTATGAGAATAATAGTAACTGCCTGGCGGAAGGTGGCTAGAAAATGATCGGTGCAGTAAGCGACAATCTAACTGCGGAGCGCATTTAAAGATTTTGATAAACGTAGTGAAGTGGCCATCGTTATATGCGCAAACTTCGCGCTAGCTGTACCTTTACGTAGGAAATTACCGGACAAGCTTGTACAGGTGCATATGAAGTCCTTATGTAGAGCGCCGACCGTATAGGTCCATTTTATTTGTCGGCTGCCGGTTTTTAAATGCCGACTCCGACATCGTTAGCAGCTTGCAAAAAAAGATATAGGTTAGTAATGCCTGATTGCCTATACCATTAAGCCACCTAGTTTTGTATCCTACACGAACATAAAGACATCGATTATTGACGCGCTTAGCTGCTGGCAGTGAAATCAGGCGTTGGACACTACGGGATTATTTTGTTTAGTGTTTAATTAGGGGAAATATATTCTTTTGTGTCATGGTACGAGTACAAACTATGCACCAGAACAAAACGGCATTTACAAAAGAAACACTTTCTCTATGCTATCCTGATCGGGGATCGTACCCATTACACAATCGCGTTTCCCCGTTGTGTTTGCATAGATATTCGCTGTTTAAAAAACTCTTTCGCCCGCTTTTGGCCAGTTGAAGTTGCTATACCGTTTCCAAGCGTTTCCACTAGCTTTTTAGTACCGTCTCCATAAGGTCCGTAAATTTCGATGGCTGCAGCAACGAAATCGTATCTTGCTTGCATGCAAGCGTGTTTCGCTAGTTTCTTCCTTTCAGCGAGTTCGGCTGCTGCGCCGGCGTTCACGGAAGTGCGGTCGATATACTAAACCGCCACGGTGTTTGATTTTGCTCGCTGGACTATCGATGCCCATTAATGCCTGTACAATACAATACAGTAGGTTTTTCCTGACATCGATATCCGGCATTTTGTCAGCTTTTAAGAGATGGTGCGGCGCCGGCAGCAAGAGCAGGTCGCAGCGGCGGAGCCGGTGCAGTTCGAACCGTTGCCGCGTCTGGCTGGGTTAAGGGTTTAACCCGATCAACGTATTCTCTCTTATCAGTGACGTATTAATCGGCGTTCAGAATTCGCTATTATACCAGCAACACTATGTACGCTTGCGAGGCTGCAGGCACTCTTTCGACTAGTTTTCTTGTAATACACCTAGCACATTTCTTACGGCCGAACTACAGCAGTCACCAATCAATCACAGCTGAACAATCCGTTCCAACAATACAGAATCTCTGATGGTGGCGTCGGCATGCTAATATTCGTAGGCGCGCGTGCAGGAAGCGATGCACGTGATAGTATTGGCTGTAAGGCACCTGCTCATACATAACTGCCCGATGATTGATCCTGGATTCGGTGGCATATTACTCGTAATTTCCACAAAATGCTGTTAAGACGCACTGTTTAATAAAGCAATCCGAGAAGCTGGCTGAGATTAAAATACGTACCATGAACGCCCGCTCGCTACTGCTCTGTGATATTTCCCATATTTGCTGCCAGGATGGGTCAGAACGGTATGGCAGCTTTCATTAAAGTTACAAATACTTCTTAACCGAAACCATTGCGAAGCCGCCGCAGCCCTGCGTTGCGGCTGAAGAGCCCGGAAATTATCGTCATTAAGCGAAGATACTGCCACAAGGCCCACAACATACATCTGAATCTGCAGCTGAGCTGCAAACACGCAAAATGGCAAGAGAAATGGACGCACGGAAAATACCCAGAAACGGCGAATAGCTAGTATGGTGGGCGGTGTCATCGGCCCAAACCTGGCCTAATCGCAGATAGTTCCTTGCTTGGAAACATTTTCCAAAAACTGGCAAAACCGTCGAAGCCATTGCATAGCGCACTTATCAAAAGAAAGACATGCAGGAAATAAGGCCTGTACGCGTCTCTTCACCAGAAACCCGCTAGCGCAAACGGAACTCGTATCCAGTGCACCGGAAATGCAGCTGCCGAAATCGGATAGCCGTAACAGCCGAAGCGGATATTACTTCTGAGCAGGAAAGAGCCCGCTGTTGTTGCTCTCTCGAGGAAAATCAAATTTTCTGACTGGTATGACGTGCAGATCGATTTACGTTGGTTCGCATCCCGCTAAACACCCTCACACAACCATTAGCACAACTCTCTGTACGATGAGTTCAACCACACTGGTCACCATGAACTATTCGGCCCTTGCTGTCATAAATTCAACTGAAAATCGGACCGGCGTCATGGTTTTAATGTTAATCGAACCAACGACGGTTGTTGCTTGGGCGATCGTTTTGCTTATGCTGTGCTTTGTCGGGGCGGCTGGGAACCTTCTCCTGGTGATGACCATACTGCTTAAAAAGAGTCTACGGGTGGGAGCAGGGCTGTTAATTTCGGCATCGTTGTCCGTAATGGCTATCATGTGCTTAATATCGTTGCCA